GAATTCTTTGAAGATAATGATGGAAGTTGTAAACAAAGGGAAGTCGCAAGGGGCAATTGTAAATATGAAGGAGCAGACTGCCAAAAGTGTAATAATAATAATCCTTGCATTTGATATACACAGTCATTTCACTTTACTATATTCTGTGAAGTGCTTTGAGATGACATAAGGTGCTGTATCAAATGCAAGGATTGTTATATTATTATATATAAAAATAGTGCTGTGTATGTTGCTGAAACAGTGAAAAGGAAGGCAATGGAGGCACATTGTCTCAGCAAATAAAAAGAGGGTAAAAGACAAGTTATTTGACAAAGAAATTGATTGAGTGGTGTGAGGAATGAGAATATTTTTTTCTTAGAGATTGCTCAGATGAACCAAATGGCCTTTTCCAGTATTAGGTAATCCTAAGTGAGGTAATTGTTGTTCTGGTCAATTGGTTCGATTTTGTGAAACTTATGAAAGGGTGGGATCCAGTGACTTTGTTTGTAGAAGAGCAATGAGAATGATAGAGTCTAGAGGTACATAGGCTATTGGGTGGCGCGAGTTGAGCTGAACCCTTTCGCATTGGAGGAAAATTTGGTAGAGTCCTGTAGCTTTGTGGTTAGAGCACTCACCTCCAAACGAGATGACCTGGGGTCGATTCCCAGGTTGGGCAAGTTTCTTACTCCACACGCCTCTGTTAACCTAGCAGTAAGTAGGAACCCGGTTGTTAGTCGATTGGCGGATTGCTTTTCCGGAGGTAATCCTTCAAAATAAATAAAAATAACTTGGTCATTCAATCCATGACTATTTGTGGGACACTGCTGTGTGCAATTGGTTGCCACATTTTGCCCACAAAATATACAGTTATTTAACTTTACAGTATATTCTGTGAAGTGCTTTGAGACGTCTCGAAGATGTGATAAGGCACTATATCAAATGGAAGGATTATTATTTTTTATAAAGCTCGAATTCCTGCTGACTTTGAACAAATGACTTATATAAAACCATATCCTTGACTTTTGTGTTGCAGTTACAGTCCTAATTATAACTTGTACTTGGCTCAATTTTACATTTCAGAGCTTATATTTGATTCAATGCTGTCACTCCACCATACTAAAATAAAACCCACAAGAAACATCTTTGTGATTAAAAAAAAGAAAAATAGAAGCTTTCTTCATGTGATTTGGTTGGATTTTGTTCCTCCCTACTATTTCTGGGTACATTTTAAAATATAGCAAATGTTAATTTAGTGTCAGCTTTTTATACCTGACCAACAGTTGAGTCAACTGTTGTGTGTGAACTACACGTCCAATCTTGTTTTCCTCTCTGTGTTATTTTCCTTGAATTTTTTAATTTCCACAATTGGTATTGACAACATCCTTCGTTTTTTTGTTCAGTTTTTCTCTCCTCTCCTAAAGAAAACTCTGAGTCGATAGGTCAGCAGATTGTAATCTCCAATGTTGTACATGTCAGCTGTAATTTGATACTGGAAAATGTAGCATATGGTGCAAAAGGCAGACACATTTATAAAGGTATGGTGGTGTGGTTGACTGCGCAAAAGGTAACTGGAAGGGAGGGTGTTTAAAGTGGCATAAATGCAAACAAAGAAATGAACAAAACACTCCCAAACCAAAGTAAAAGGTGGATGTTTTTCAGATTTAAAAAAAATCTTTTGAATGCATTATATCATCTTTGCTATCCTTTGCCTGTAATTTGTTTTTTTAATGAACAATTTCCAATCACAATGTGGAGTCCTGTAGCTCAGTGGTTAGAGCACTCGCTTTGCAAGCGAGAGACCTGAGTTCAATTCCAGGCAGGGGGAAACCTTGGGAAAGTTTCCTTACTCCACACGCCTAATAATAATCCCTCCAAAAACCAAAAAAAATAATAAAAATTGGTCATTTTCAATCTACGATTGTTTGTGGGACATTGCTGTGCGCAATTGGCTGCCGCGTTCGCCCACAAATATACAGTCAATTCACTTTACAGTGTGTTCTGTGAAGCGCTTTGGGATGTCCTCTCGACGTGAAAAGCGCTATATCAAATGCAAGGATTATTATTATTATTAATTTCAACATAATGAAAGTTAATGAAAAGTCAGTGATTCTTTACAATGTTTTTTGAGCTCTTTAAAGTTTCATGGAATCTATGGATCATGACAGTGTGGAAGGTATTAATTGCTGGACTTTTAGAATGGATTTGAAAATGTGCTCTGAAAGAGATTGGTGGCAAAGGTAAAACTTTCTGGGATAAAGAAGTAAATAGCCTAAATAATTGTAATCCAACAGCTCTGACCAGCAGAGAACTCCAGAGGTCATTCCAGCTATTTAGAGCATTTAAATAAATGATCCTGGTGTAGTTGTTACAGTAGAATCCCAGAATTGAAACTTCCAGTTGTATTGAAAAGGAATACAGTTCAAGAAATATGATGCACAGCAACTGGAAAGGTGATTTGGATACTGAGACCCGTAAGATGATAAATATAGTTAATGAAGTGGACACTTATGAAATAAGATAAGTGAATAAATTATTTTAGTGTAGTTGTGGATCAGACTTTGACGTTTTATCAGAGTGTAGAGAGGATGTTTCAATAAAGAGGTGAATATAATAAGTTCAAGGGTAAACTCCTAAATGCTAAATGGGTAAATATAAATGTGCTGAGCTATACAGGCCAGGAAAATAAATAACTTGCATTTTTGTAGTGCCTTGTTACGTGAAAATGTCTTGTATATTTCTCAAGTCTAGTAACTGGTGAACACTAGCAAGATCCAACAATGGCCACAAGGTGAATGACCAATTATACTAAAGGATTGTTGGACAGGATACCAGGAGAAAGTCACCTTTTTGTTGACCTAATAAAGTAGTCCATCTCATAATAGGCAATAGGGAAAAAGACATGTTAATGGAGATCTGTCTGTAGGTGGAAGCTGGTAGCTGTTTCTATGTGTCTTTTTGCATTTTTCTCCCTCACTTTCTGTCTGACGCCTACTCTACACTATTCTGTGTTCCTGTGGTTTTGTGTGCGTTTGTGTGTTTGCCCCCCTCTCTCTCTCCTCACTCACTCCCCAGTCTCTTCCCTCCCCCCCCCACACACACACACACACTGAATTAGTAGATCTCAGCTGGGAGGAATGCTGGAGTTTGCTTCAGGATCACTGGGTTGGACAAGAAGAAAAAAATGCTTTGGATCTCTGGTTGGTTGTCCTAATAGGATCCAGAGATTGGGTAGAGAGCACAATAAATATTTGATGTATCAAACTGTTAAATACATTGGCAAGATCAACAGAAGAACCAAATGGTATAATTGTAAGGTGAATAAACCCCAAATCATAACAGCTTTATGCTTGGAGTGACTGACCTTAAGAATCGACTATCGCATAGTACATTAAATATTGACCCCTTTGAGCCATCAAAATAGATTTGGATTTTGCGTAGGGCAGAATGGATTAGAAAAAGACCAGACTGCTTGCCCCAGGGGGCTTCATCTCATTGCTATTGTTTCATTATAGCTGAAACTGGCAGTGAAGTATAAGCCAGACAGTAAATTCTTGATATATAGTTGCAGGCAAAGCTGGCTCTACATTTATTTATTTATTTATTTAAATGAAGACCAGTCGCTGAAGAAGGAATGAAATTCAGATTTTAGGGAATTAATTACGTTAGGATCATAATCTCCCCCTCTCTGATCTATGATTTTGGTGCTAAAAATTAGATTGTGTCCAGGTTTGGACACCCACTTTGGAAAGATGTCAAGGCTATAGAGGGGATGCAGAAGAGATGAACTAGGATGACAGAGAGGAACCGTGTTATAGAGTCCAATATCTCAGGTGCTACATTAAAAGGAACATGAAAGAATATCCAACTTCTAGCTTGTCAGGGTACTGCAATAATTGCTAATATTTTTGGTGTTGACCTGACAACCCCTCAATAGATCATAATATAGCCCAGAAAACTGGCTGGTCCTTGCCAGAAAAGCCTGTAGCCTACTGCACTATGGTTAACCACAGGGCCACAATGTAGCTGTGTTAAAAATGGACCCATGCTCTTGCGAGGAGCCTAGTAATGGGGTTATACTCTGTTACAGAATTTAGAGACTACTTACAGGGAGAGACTGAAGGGATGAGGGCTTGAAAAGGTACGGGTGAGAAGAGACCTGATAGTTTCTAAAATAGAGCAGATTTGAAACGATAAGTAGGTAGCAGTTATTTCCACTGGGCATTGAACCGGTAATCATAGAGCTAAAATTTAAGGTCATTACCAAAAGAGGAAAGGGAGAGGCTAGAAATGTTTTTAGACTGAGTTGTTAGGATGTGGAATGCCTTACGTAAGCAAATGGTTGAGACAAAATCCATAATTGTTTTTAAGAGGCAATTTCAGAAATATTGGAAAATAAATGTATAAAAGGATCTGAGTGGGGGTAAGGCAGCGGGTTTGGATTAATTGATAGCTCTTTCAGAGAGCCGCATGGACACAATACGTCAGATAGATACCTGTGTGCTGTATACTTCATATTTGTGTATGCTGTACTTCAATTATTTGCCATAAATAATCCATCAGACATGGATCAGAAGGTTGTGGATTCAAGCACTACACCGGGACTTTGAGTTCATATAGTCTTGGTTGATACTCCAGTGCAGCGATGGTGGTGGGGGGTGGGAGGTGTACTGCATTTATTGGAGGTGCTATACTTCGGATGCCATGTATTTCAGACTGAAAACAAGTGTCGTGTTTATAGATTCCTGTGGGTTATAGAATAGAATATTAACCCAAATGGTAACAGTATTAATAGATTTTTTTGTATTAAAAGAAGTGTTCGATTCAGTGTTGGATTTTTAAATAAATTAAATTAGAGATTTCTAGGATGACTTCACAATACAGGGACATATTGAGGCTGAATAATTTGTGACATTCACGCCATTAGGTTGATCCAACAAGAGATGATGTGCTTCTTATAGCTAAATTTACTGCAGCTACTTTATGGAAGTGCTTTTTCTTCAGAATTTGTGCTTTTGTTCCAGGTGGCACTGCTTGGACTAGATGTTATCGGAGCACTATTGGATCGAATAAAAGAAAGATTCAAACATCATATTGTAACAGGTATGTTCCTCCTCCCCATTTCCTCGCACAGTGGAATTTAATTTGAAACGATTGTCCACCCTAATTTGTCCTGCGGCGTCCTGTAGCATATTGATTAGACCACTCGTCTCGTAAGCAAGAGCACCTGGGTTTGATTCCCAGCACGGCAAAACCTTAGGCAAGTTTCCTTACTCCACATGCCTCAGTTTACCTAGCAGTAAGCAGGAACCTGGTTGTTAGTTGATTGATGGATCGCTTTTCCAGTGGTAATAATCCGTTTAACCTTTTTTTAATAATTTGATAGCTCAATCACAACTATGTGTGGGAGATTGCTGTGTGTAATTAGCTGCTGTTTGCCCACAAAATATACAGTCAATTCACTTTGCAGTATACACTGTGAAGTTCTTTGAGACGTCTCAACAGCGTGATGAGGCATTATGTCAAATGCAAGGATTACTATTATAAGTCAACCATTGTGAATGGTATTGGTTTTCTCTATTTGAGACCAGCACTTTTTTTAAAGCATTTTTGACTTGTCCTAATTATAAATCTAATATTTCATAGATGGAATTCACAGAGTTGCTCTTTTATTTATTTGTATGCTGAGCAGGCGTCCTTGCAGCCTTCGACTTTACTTCTGTTATTTCATGGATCTAAGGTGTATTACGCGTCACCTGAAATTGTGTTTTTTTTTCTTATTGTCCCCTTTGCACATTGCTGCAATGATGAATCAAGCCTGATCATCATGTCATACTTGGTATTTATTTTGAATGCCAATGTATACCAACATGTGCCAGTGGCGATTCACGTGTTCTTTGTCTCTGTGCACTATATAAGGAAAGCATTCTTCTGGGAGAAGCAAAACATTTCAAGTAATAATGGCCATACATTTCTAGAATGTATTCAGGACAGTTTTCTGGAGCAATACGTTTTAGAACCGACAAGGTAACGTGCAACACAAGATTTAGTGATGAGTAACAAATCAGAATTAGTTAACAATCTGGCAGTAAGGGAATATTTTGGGAATAGTGACCACAGTATAATCAAATTTGATATTGGGATTGAAGGGGGAGAAGAGAAAGTTCCAAACCAGTTTTTAAATTTAAGTAAGGCAAACTTCAAAGGAATGGGAAATGAGTTAACCCCAGTTAACTGCTAATGAGTAAAGTTCCAAGGGTAACTAGACAGACAAACACTGGGAAGTATTTACAGAAGTAATTGGTACAATACAAAACAGATAGATGTGTACCCCTGAAAGGCAAAGGCTCCACATGTGTAGTTAGGCACCCTAGGTCAACAAGTGAAGTTAGATATAGTATCAAGCTAAAAGAAAAGGCTTATCCAATTGCTAGGAAAAGTGTTAATTCAGCAGACTGGGAGAGCTATAGAAGGCAACAAGGAAAAGTACTGAACAAAAGAAAGTACTGAAATAAGAGGTGCAAAAAGAATATGAAAAATGTTGTAATTGATATCAAAGCTAACAGCATTAATAATAATAATAATAATAATAATAATAATAATAATCCTTGCATTTGATATAGCGCTTTTCACGTCAGGAGGACGTCCCAAAGCGCTTCACAGAACACACTGTAAAGTGAATTGACTGTATATTTGTGGGCGAACGCGGCAGCCAATTGCGCACAGCAATGTCCCACAAACAGTCGTAGATTGAAAATGACCAATTTAATTATTGTTTTGGGTTTTTTGGAGGGATTATTATTAGGCGTGTGGAGTAAGGAAACTTGCCCAAGGTTTCGCCCTGCCTGGAATAAGAGAACAAGTGTGGTAAATGGGAATGTGGGCCCATTAAAGACAGGCATGACTAAAATGGGTAATAGGAAATGGCTGACTTGTTAAATGAGTACTTTGTATCTATTTTCACAGTGGAGAAGGAAGATGCAATACATAATTACATTTGTAAAGCGCCTTTCACGTTGGGAGGATGTCCCAAGGCCCTGAATAGTCATGGATTAGGACCTGTGGGGCGGCATGGGGGTGTTGGGATCAAGGATGGTGGAGGGCAGAGGGGGTATGAAGGTGGCCAAAGGTACTGTCGAAGAGGAGGGTCTTGAGGCGTGCCTTGAAGGGGGCAAGGGAGGGAGCGAGGTAAAGGGAATGTGGGATTGAGTTCCAGATGGTGGGGACAGAGAGGTTGAAGGCCCGACCACCTCAGGTGGGGAGGGCCAGGCAATGGACATGGAGCAGGCCTGCTGTGCGGAGCTAGGGGCAAGGCCATGGAGGGCTTTGAAGGTGAAGGTGAGGACAAGAATTTTGAACTCGATCCGCTGAGAGATGGGGAGCCAGTGGAGCCAGGCGAGGGTGGGTGTGATGGGGTCACGGAGCTTGGTGCGGGAGAGGACACAAGCTGCAGAGCTCTGGATGATACCAGCGATACAGGGGAAGGGAAAATAAGTCAAGGAGAAAGAACTTGTTGGGTTTAATATCAGTAGAAAAGGGGTCATCAAGAAAATAATGGGATTTAGGATAGACAAATCTCCAGAACCTAATGGTTTCTACCCCAAAGTATTAAAAGAAATAGGTGAGGAGATTGCAGATGTATTGGTTGTAATTTTCCAAATCTCTCTAGATTCAGGAATTGGAATGGATTGGAAAATTGCAAACTGTTTCTAAGTGTAACCTTTAATCTTAAATACCTTCTTTTTCATCACTCCCTTTTTGCCCTTTTCAAATTGCTCCTCATAATGGGAAACCCCTCGGTCTTAGTAATTTTCTAGAAAATGTGTATTATGATGCATAGATTTTTTCATGAGGTGAGACAAGAAGGGTTAAGAAAACAAATGAAAGAAACCAATGAAATAACAGCTTGCTTAAATATTATGAAGGAATATATATGAGGAATGAGAGGCATTTCACTGAGGTTCATGAGGTGATTCAGTTTACTACATTACTGAATCGGAAATCTTCAACCGCAAAGGCTTCGTATTTTGTACCAACAGAAAGGAACATGAATCTTTCACTGGTGATTGTATTGTCTTAATTGTTTTGAAATGCAATAGAGGTGGGTTTTGGTTAACTTCAGCCATGAAAATGAATGCTGGCTGCATAAGTCATTCACTCATTCTGGTTTTGCACTTTATTTTCTACAGTGATACCAGCACTTGTGGATCGTTTAGGTGACTCCAAAGATCAGGTTCGAGAGCAGTCGCAGAATATTCTTCTCAGATTAATGGACCAAGCTGCATCACCCCAGGTATGTGAGAATTTTTTTCCGGTTTTGTGTCTTAGTGGCTTTAATGTCTTATTACAGTCTGTCTTTAACATAATCGCATAGCAATTAAGACTTCAGTGAATAAAAAAAGCATATGGTTATCATAGTTTTGCATTCTCTGAAGTTAAAACTAATGTGCATTTGTTTCCTCTTAACTTTACAATCTGCTGTTTAAGAGCTCAGAACTGTTTAAGCTTTTGTTAATCAACCAGAATGTTTCCTCTTTGACCTATTAATAATTAATCTATTTCATTCTTTTACACAACTTATGCATTGCAAACGGAAGAAAAAAATAAAGTTATTCCACTACATTCAATCTCCATATATAAATTTATAGATTATCTAATTTGGAAGAGCAGTAGAGAAACTGAGATACTATACAGTCCTTATTAGAGTCCATTGCTAAACCGAAGCCACAGTGAGAACACGGTTTATTCCAATAGATGCTGCATGCACGATTCTGTGCAGTAATACTCATTCTCTCTCCAGCTAGCAGCAAGTAACCATTCAATTCATTTCGTCCACAGTTGCATACATGTGGAAGTGCTTTGAGACTTCGCGAAGACATGATAAGGCGCTATATCAAGTGCAAGAATTATAATAGACCATAATGATAACTTGCAGATGAGACCATTTGACACCGACTTGGAGAACTGGGCAATCAGATATAAGCTACTTCAGAACCTTTGTTTAATTATGTGGCTCTTGAGAGACTAGTTCAGTTATTTAATTTTAATTATACATACTTTATTGGCATCCGTTTCTATGTTATGTAAAAATGGTTTGTTGACCAGGATGACAATGGCAATCCTGTGGGGTGCAGTATATTGGTAACTTATCCATTCAAGACAATTTTCCGCTTGGAGGGTGCACAGGTTCCTCGAGGGTTTACAGGCAGCTGTTACTTCGTATTAAATGCCTCCAATGGGAAATCAATAGGCTAGCATCCAGTGGTATCCAGGTTCTTTAAAACTGCTTGGAAAATTAAGTTAGTCAGACTTGCCTGCCTGGGATTTGAACCTTGTTTTTCCAGTGCTCATGCTTGGCTGACTTGAATTCATGGCTCGACAGATGGAGACATCATTCCGTTAACTCATTGAATGTGTGAGTGGTGTTTGGCTGTTTAAGGTTGTCATCATCACACCCCATCTGACCTTGTCCCCACCCTTTGGAACCCGCCCCCACCCTTTGGAACTCCATCCCACAGTCCCTTTGCCTTGCTTCCTCCCTTGCCTCCTTCAAAGTGCGTCTCAAGACACTCTTCGACCGCACATTCGGCCACACTGCTACCCCTGCCCTCCACCACCCCTGATCCCAACCCCCTGCTCATATAATGTTGTTCTTGCAAAGGCAGAGGTGAGGCATGGACAAGAACAACAATAAATTACATTTGTATAGCACCTTTCACTTTGGGAGGGTGTCCCAAGGCGCTGAACAGTCAGCGATTTGGACCTTTCAGTATGAGACATGTAAATCCTGCCTGAAGTTTCTTTTTTTTCCCCCACCATTTTTACTCCACCTTTTTGTTTACTCATCCGCTCCGAGACTGGGCTTACTGAAGCCATTTTTATTGCCACTATAGCTGCATAGTCCAAAAATGAACATTGGACATTACCTACTTAATACCTTGTAAGCAACATCACTTCCTGCAGTAAAGTATTTAGAAGCAGAAGGCCTGATTTATAGTTCCTGCTTTTAATCACTTTACTTGCTTTTGGCTGGGTCGAGACACATGTGCAACTAAAGTGCATGTCCAGAGCTCTAACAGATGTTACTTTATTAATGTTGTGAAAGAGCTTTTTGTGCGATCAGCTCTTCGATAGTTAAGAGAGATTTCCATGAATATTGGATCGTTTGGACTTCCCATTGTTTTTTAGTTCAGTTATTTTTAGAAAATAATTGCGTTCATATCATAGTTGTAATTTCTTCTCGTCACCATGCACTAGCCAATGAGTAGGTAGAAACCACTGTGTTTGAGGGTGAGAGCAGTCTCTGCCAGCAATAGCCATTTATTGTGTTATCAGATTTCACAAGAGAGAATGAAGAATGTCCTTCAACCTATTTGATCTCATCCTTCCAGAATGTCCACCCTACCTTCCTATTATAGCATGAATCTGTTTCTTTAAGTCTTGTCCTGACTCCAAGACTCTTTCTTATAATCTGTTCCAGATGTTCATTACATTCCTAAAATTGTCTTTCCTACCCTAGATCTTTTGACCTTCTGCATATATCTGCCTTACCCTCAGGACTATGAATTGATTGTCTGTCATCATGAGTTCTACTATTCCTCTCTCCCGCATTCCTCTAAATCATACTGGAAATTATTTTTCAATTCCTTTTCTCTTTTCCTGCACACCCGCCACCCAAACAGCAGCTGGATCTTGCTGCTGCTTCTCCTAGTTTGATAACTTCTTGAAAAATATTTACTGCAATGGTCTTGACTAATTCATAGTAAAACCAGATTCAAATCTGTGTAAGGATTTTTGTTGGTCAGAACAATAAATGAGCAACAAAAATAGATTGATCAACTGTAAATATAGTGTTCATATCCCGCTGAATTAAAGTAACTCCAAATAATGCCTTTCTATGCTTCTTCCCTGCTGGATCTGAAGTCTTGGCTCTTAAATTGCTTGTTTAGTTAGAATATCAGTGTTCTGCTGTTCCTAGTTTCAATCCTGCATTCCCCCTAACCTTGGAAGGGCAATTTAAAGCACTGGAACACTTGAAAACATACATGAGAGTTTTGATGGAGGTTTTCTTAAAAGGACAATTTCTTTGTTTTTCAGGTCATTGCTTCTGATGATCTGACTTATGAAAAACAAAATAAATTTGTTTTAAATGGCTTGTTTAAATGGCTTCATGATGTATCAAATCAAATCATTTGGTTTCTGATCTTTTGGCTTGTTCCATGAATTTTATTGCTCAGTAAAAGGCATTTAAATATACCAAGTTCAATTCAAAATTCTAACATTAGAGAAGTGGTTTGGCACAGTTATCCCTTGCATGCTTGTCTCTGGATCCTGAGTTCAAGCCCAACTTTGGGATTTTAGCTGATGGTCCAGATTGACATTCCATTGCGCTACTGTAGAATTTTGCACAATTACTCAAAGTGGTGTCCTAATGAGATGTTAAACGGATGTCTCGTCTTTGGATTCAGGTGGATATTAAAGAACCCATGATTCTTTTGGTAAATTTCTCTTGGCCAAATGTCCTCCAAATAAATTGGCCATTTGCTTCACGGCTGTTTGTGGAACATTTTTGTTTTTTGCGTTTGCCTATAAATATGCAATCACTATATTTGACAGTAATTACATATGATGATGATCTTTGAGATGTGCTGACCTCATGGGTATGAATATCAAATTGCAACTTTTAGTTGTTCGATGTAATATTTTTGAAGATAGTTTCTATAGTCTCAATCTACCCAAGTGTAAGCCTTGCCTTCTTCCAGACAAGAAACAGATCTGTGTTATAGCATATGTCTGTGACTTAGTATCTTTGTATTTTCTTTTCAATCTTTCTTATTTTCCAGTTTATTTGGGACCGATTAGCTTCAGGGTTTAAACACAAGAACTTTCGGACACGTGAAGGAGTTTGCCTCTGTCTCATTACTACGCTTTCCAAGTAAGTACAAGTTTATATTTGGATCAGTTAAATTTGTATTTGACTCATTTCAGATATTCACAACTTTTATTTGGAGAAGTGTGAGTATTTACTTTCAGAAGAATAATGTAACACTTTCTGGTCTGTTAAAGTTAACCATTGTGGTAATGTTTTGAAATATTTTAATAGCAGATTAGGTTAAAGATGCATCAAGCATTTTGATCCTGTTTTCAGGTTTAAAAAAAACTGCACACAGTGGATATATTTCATGAATCCTCTCGCTTCCCTGGTGGCCAGGAGGGTAAAGGCACCACTTTGTGCATAATTAGGCTGCGTAGACTGAAATTATGCAGTTTATGCATGTGTTAGCTGATTTCAGCCAGGGCAATAGTGGGACACAAAAACTGGCCTCAGTGTGGCTGGACCAAGGAGGGGAACATCAGTCAAGTAGTTTCTGGTCCTTATCACTAACTGGAGACCATGATAGAAGGTGCATTTATTTGAACATCTTCTGACAACAGAATTTAACTCATCCAGTAGCCTCAGCAACCTGGGTTGGAGTAGAGAAAATCAGATAGCATAGTTGCTCTGAAATGGTATCTAATGATTGTTGACGGAGTTGGATTTAGGTTGAGAGCAGACTACAACATCATACATTATCTACTCTTCCCCCAGTTTTATCTTGATTGAATTTTCTTGATTTAAGTCAAAAATAATTTTGTTGGCCAACACTGCTAAACGGTGCCCTGTTTGAACCCATATTAGCCTCGATCCATAACTCCTTCACTTGGCTTTCTCTCATCTCCACAATACTGCCCACATCACTCTCCCCTAAGGTCCTGTGACCCTCATTCATACGTTTTTGGTCACTTTTCCTTCATCCCTCCCCCATCTTTTTCAACTGCGTTTTTAGTCGATTTTCCTCCCCCCCCACCCCACAGCTGGGGCTCCCAGTCAGCTCCAAGAAATTTGATATTATGTCCTGAGGTGACATAATATCAACCTGTACAAATGCAAAATTGCTGTATTTGCTTGCTTGCTATTGAAGCAAGAAATCTTGAGATTCATGAGCATTTATAAATCAAGGATTGTGCTGTGGAACTCTGCTTTGACTTTTAAAAAATAAATGAGGATTGAAGTAAGAAGCAGAGAGTTTGGCAAGGAAAATAATGCTGTGAAATTCTTGGCTGGATGTTACAAACTAACTATTTGCAGCACTAAATGTTTAAGATATTTTTCTGTTTCTCATCAGCCCTTCATTTTAGAGATTAAAGATAATTTTGTTTGTGGCCAGCAATAATTGCAGGGCAGAACATGTACTGTTAATACAGTAGTTCCTTGTAAAATTATAGTGTCCATTTTAAGATCATTATAATTTTTGAGATTTTTTAGATAATTTTTATACATTCAATTCTACAGCAATTTCACAAACAAAAAAGACTTGTTAACTTGATATGTTACCTAGATGAAAACTCAAATGTCTATAGTTTTCCAAATTCTATGCAATGTTTGAAATTAATTTAAATTCTCTCTTTTACAGTTATGGAGCACAGCCATTAACATTAAGCAAAATTGTACCACATATATGCAACTTATTAGGAGATCCAAATAGTCAGGTAAGTACTCACTCTCTTTTAATAATTTGTGAGCATTTCTTTAGGTCAAACAAGAAGGAGGTCGTATTTATTTCCAGTGTACACTGTAATACAAATTTGCATAGTGCCTTTCACATCGGTAGGACGTCCCAAGACACTTCATAATCGTGGCTTGGCACCTGAGATGGGCGTGGGAGCTGAAGAGGGCACAGAGGGAAAAGATGACATTATATAAAATACAATGCAGTGAAGATCTATTTGACATGTCAAGACAAACCTCTGTTTAATACCACTAAAGATGTGTTTTTTGTTGGACGTTATTTTTGATGTATGTCACTAAGAGGATCCTTTATATTAACTGCTTCAATTTAAACCATTCTTTGTGTTAGAGGAAGTGAGTCAACTATATTGATAAATAATATAAATTTGCATGAGATTAAGATGATCATTACAACATTTTCTATTTCATGTTTATGCCAGATAAATGATGCATGAAACTGATATTTCAGAGAAGTATTGTCTTTCATATGGCAGTTAAAATTATAGAACAGTGACCTATTCAATAGAAATCAATTTTTCAGTTTGCTTCATTACTAAGCAGCTCAAAAGGACTTAACCCAAGATCATGTTTCTTTAGATGGTTGATGTTTCACTGGGGAAAAAAAATTCTATCCAAAATCTAGTGTAAATGCTATACATGATAGATGTTGATTGATTTAAAAGAAAAAATTGCTTACACCGGTTATAAATCCTACATGTACAATGAACAATGGAGCATCAGTCAAGCACTGCTCCCAATGCTATGCTTAATGAGGGCACACTCAGTGTTAAACTGGCTCATATGGTGATGGCATTTGATAGTGAGTGTTAATGAAAATCCAAAAGCATTCTGTCAGATGTTTCTGAAGATGCAAACCTCTCATTAAGAGATAATTAATCATTAAGTCACAAGCTATTTCCACGTCTCGAAGAATGTGGCAATATTTGTCCAAGTCCCATACCACTATGGTGACAAATCAGAAATGGGGCTAATACAGTCATGATACAAATGATATTGCAAAATTCATGGGGTGAACTTGATGATATTTGCATAGCTGCAGCAGACATAAAGAGCAGGCAATTAGAATTTAAAAATGTTGAGGTTGAATATCTTAAAATGAGATTTTATGAAGATAAAATCTGAGGACATGCATCTCCTAACTGATGGAAGGTCAACATGGAGAAGTGGATGTGAAGGACACATCTGTACATTTGAGGCACTCCTGAGATTTCAAATGTGTAAGATACCTGGAGCATGAAGTGATTCAGTTGAGGCTGACAAGTATTAAATAAGAGTTGGAAGTTTAGAAAAATTCTAAAGTGGCCTTGCCTTTATCTAAGTCTGTACATCTACTATTGTCTGTGTATTGGTGTATGTGTATGTATGTGTGTGTGTGTATATACACATATATATATAGTCCATATCAGAGTCGAACTTTACTTGCTTAGATTGATCAGAACAACCTCTCCCTTTCCTCTGGTACTGTTGCCTCCCCATTAAAAACCGCTGTCATTGCTCCTATCCTTAAAAAACCCTCCCTGGACCCTTCTCTACTCCCTAAATACCACCCCATCTCCAATCTCCCCTTCCTCTCCAAGGTCCTGGAAGGAATTGTTGCTTTTCAGCTTCGCACCTTCCTCTCCTGCCGCTCCCTTCTCAAACCTCTCCAATCGGGCTTTCATGTCGCCCACAGCACAGAAACAGCCCTGGTCAAAGTGTCAAATAACATTCTGTCCATCTGCGACCAGGGCTTCCTCTGCCTCCTCGTCTTCCTTGACCTTTCTGCTGCTTTCGACACTGTTGACCACTCTATCCTTATCCACCGCCTCTCCTCTCACCTCAACCTCCACGGTGCTGTCCTTGATTGGTTCAGATCGTACCTTTCACACCGCCTGCACTTCATCTCCTCAAACAGTTTCTCCTCTAGCTCCTACCTCTCCGACTTCCTAACTGGGTGGCCTTTTTTTGGGAGTAGTGGGGTGGTCTGGGTGAAGGCGGGACACCAGCGAGATTACAGGAGCTTTCGGGGCCCAGCACTGCACACTGACAAGAGCGAGAGACGCACACACACTCAGAGACACAAAGAGACACACACACTTACAGACACAGAGAGAGAGTGACAGAGTGAGGCACACAAACACAAAGAGTGACATACGCTCAGAGACACAGAGAAATACATTCTCAGAGAGACACACACTCACACAGACACTCACAAACACAGAGAGGGAGACGCAGACCTGCGCACGCAGACACTCACAAATGCATATAGAGAGACATACACACAGACAGTCATACACTCTCTCTCTCTCTCACACACATACACACAGTGACGTCAGGTAAACAGCCGTGAGACCTGCCGGCCAGAAACTACATTTATAGTGTGCTTGTAGTTGAGGAAGGTGTCTGTAGTGGATTCCGCAGGAAAGGTGCAGCTAGACTTTTCTATTGGCCCAGGTTATAGCCCCTTCGGAGGTGATTCGCCCTTCAGATGAGATGTTAAACCGAGGCCTCAGCTGCTTGTTCAAGTGGATATTAAAGATCCCAGGGCACTAGTTGAAAAAAGAAGGGAGTTTCTCCTGGTGTCCTGGCCAATAATCCCCCTATAAAAAAATTGGTCATTCACTTCATGTCTGTTTGTAGGACATTGCTGTGTGCAAATAGGCTGGCTACTGTGTTCACTGACGAAATGCACAATCACTACACTTTACCAAAGCTCTTCACAGAATTTACTGTATATTCTCCAGAAGTGAAATGGGCTTTGCTAAATGTAAGGATTATTATTATTGATTATAATTTGCAGTTACAGCAAGAAGCTATTGCAGAATTGCTAATATATCAAACATTACTCACACTTCCATGAGAGGAAGACTAATTGGAAAAGCAGCAACATCTTCCATAATATAGCTGTTTATTATGATTCAGCTGTTCCTGAATTTGCTGAATATACACAGATGCCTTGCTCCCATTCACTCCTTTAAAACGTTGAGCAGTGGATCTACGCTGAGGACCTATGATTAATGCAGAGCAAGGTAGCAAGAACTTGATATTTGTGGTGTAACACTTAGAGGCCACAAAACAGATTGTTACTTTAGCATGCAAGGACTCTAACCAACTTCATCTGTTACTGTAAAATTTCTAGCAATGCAAACTACTGTCTAACACCTAAACCAGTAACTGCAGTAACTATGTCTGCATCCAGCAGCCTGGTATGGAGTGTCACTGTTCCACCTACCTCTTTAATGCTGGCAGATATCAACACAATGCAACCTGCACTGCAGTGTAGTTCGGTGAAATAATTTATCTGCAAAACTGAGCAAAACACCGTCACGGTGGACTATGATAGCATAAATAGCTATTTTAGTTGTAAAGGTATCCACAATAATTTGTGTAAGTTTCATCTGTATGATGTTGCACAGAAGAACATGTAAGTGTCATTAATTGTTTAGGTAGACTTGTATCACTCCTTTCACTCAAAACAGTGTATAATTTACCATGTACTGCAATTGTAGCTTATCTTTTGAGCTCACGTTTTATATTTCTTTTTAACAATTGCGCTGATGTTGTATACTGCTGAAGTGCTTTGCTTTACCTTTTATTATATGCCTATAATAAAGTGGTATGCATTTTACATTTTCACTATTTTAATGATCATATTGATGTTGTGTGTGTGTGTATATATATATGTATGCTTATTGCAGTGAAAGATTTAATTATACATAAAACTGCCATTAATAGTAGAAGTAAGTACAGTTTGTAGCTTGTAGATATGTAATTGAACAAAACGTAAGTAATCAAAGAACATTTTTATACACACTTTTATAAATGACTTATATTTAAATTAATACAATAATTATTCATTTCAATGTCCTGCAGCATCCTCCATACAGTCAAACTTATTTAGAACTGGTTGTAAAGACCCTTCTGTTCTGTTGAAAATATGGTAACAGATATAATTGCATTTTCACAGGTAAGGGATACAGCCATGAATACCATGGTGGAGATTTATCGTCATGTAGGCGAGAAAGTACGATCTGACCTCAGCAAAAAGGGGATTCCTCAAGCGCGGTAAGTCACTTTAAGCATTTACATCACAAAGATTTACAAAAAATGTACAGCATGGCAACAGGCCACTTGGCCGAAACAGTCCGTGCCGATGTTTATACTCCACATGAGTCTTCACCCTTTCCTTTACTTCCTTCCCATGTCCTTCTATTTCTCCACTCCCTCCTGTGAACCAGTTGTAATGAACCCCAACCAGTAGAAACAGCCTATTTACAGTAAGCTTATCAAACTGTTTTATAATTTTAAACTCTTCTGTTAAGTTCTCCCTTAAACATTTCTTCTCTAGCGAAAAAAGACCCACAGAAGCACTCTGGGACGTCCTCCCGAAGTGAAAGGTGCTATACAAATGTAGTTTGTTGTTGATATCGGTAAGCTGCCAGCCACAGTATCATCAACAACATATATTTGTATCGCGCCTTTCACATCAGGAGGACGTGCCAAGGCGCTGGACAGTCAGGGATCCACACCTGAGCTGATGATTGGGATCAGGAGGGGTAGAAGGCGGAGAGGGTAGGTAAGTAGGAGGGTGACCGAAGCATGGTCGAAGAGGGGGGTCTTGAAGGCAAGGGAGGAGGCGAGGCGGAGAGACTGTGGGATGAAATTCCAGAGGGTGGGGGCAGAGCGGCTGCCCTCAAAAAAAATAATAATTTGGGTTACTCCATTACTGTTTGTGGACACTGCTGTGTGCAATTGGCTGCCGCGTTTTGCCCACAAATATACAGTCAATTCACTTTACAGTATATTGTGTGAAGCGCTTTGAGACGTCTAGAAGTTTGAACAGTGCTATATCAAAATGCAAGGTTTGTTATTATGTGTATTTTATACTATGTATTGTAATCCTGGGTAATTAAACTTCACGACAGCAAAAGTTTAGTCACTCATTTAATGCTGATTCTTGTTCATTGGAAGAACTTGTATGTCATCACTGTTTTATCGAGGAACTCAAACGTTTAACCTATGTTTAAGAGAAATAAATCAACCTACATCTATTTTACAGTAGGAAGTAGGCTGGCTGGTTGCCATATAAATGTTAAACAGATTTATGTTTGCTTAACCATCAGTTACAGAGATAGGAAGGAGCAAGGTTGTTGAGGGCTTTGAAGGTGAGGACCGGGATCTTGAACTGTATCCTCTGAGTGATGGAGACCCAGTGGAACCGGGCAAGGATGGGAGTAATAGGGTTGCAGAGCCTGGTGCGGGAGAGGACACGGGTTGTGGAGTTCTGGATGATCTACAGCCTGTGGAGGGAGGAGTTGGGGTGGCTGCCAAGCAGGAAGTTTACGTAGTCGAGCCTGGATGTGACGAATGAGTGGATGAGGGTCTCGGTGGCCTGGGGTGAGAGATAGTGGTGTTTTTTTTCAGAATTTCCAGTCTTTTTTCTAAGGTACTTTGTTTGATATGACATCATGTGGTTGTTCTCCTTTTTGAAAACCAGGAACAAAAATACATAATCTCACTTTCTGGCTGTTTTTTAAAAAAAAGGTTCACTACTTATAGTTCCTTGAATCAGAGTAAAATCACTCTATAAATACTAGTCTTCAATACTGAGGCTCTCCAGTAGGCTTTCTTCCCCAACATTCGTTTTCAGATTGGGTTTGATTGCTACATCAGAGCCTTCTCGGGAGAAGCTGTGAATTGGAAAATTGCTTGCTAAAAGGGTAAAAATCATCCTGATTGATCATCATGATTCAGGGCCTAATTGTTGGTATTCAATGTTCTGCTAAAGGCATTTTGTGAGGTTCTGTCCAGGTGCAGTACTGCATTTAGCCAGTGGAAGCCCTCAGTTAGCTCCAGAAGTGGTACAGCTTTTTGTGAAGAAAATTAATCAGCGGTACAATTTCACAAGCTTCAAAAGTTATACCAGCTTTCTGCCACTTCTACAATAAAATAACTGGTCCTGGACATAAGATTTGTGGAACTTTTTCACCCTCAGAGTTGGCCAATTCTGACAGATTCCAGATACTTAGCTATATGCAGTAGCAGATCCGGAAGTCAAATTATCCATCTCTACATACGTTACACCAGGAAAATTGAGGACAGATGAGTGGAAGAAAACCATCCTCACAGCTGTGTACAAAAATAGAAGTCGCTGAGAACACTCAGCATGAGTCACCATTTCGGGTCCACGACCCTTAAGTCAGAACTGGGGCATGTTGGGAGGGAGAGGCTTTTAAGGGCTAACAGAGAGGGGGGAGGCAGGGCAAGGAAGACAAAGGAGAAAATGGGGTAGAGAACAGGGGATGATGGGTTAAAGAGGTATTAATAATGCAAAACAAAGTGTGGGGGGGGTTGCAACAAAATAGGCAGACCAGAGAGAAAAGGTATTTCTGGAACCAAGATGATGTGATAATGGTCGCAGAAGAGGGGAAGGGGAAAGGTAAGCTGTTACGGTCTGCAATTGTTGAAATCAATATTGAGGGCTGTAAGGACCTTAGCAGATAAATGAGGTGCTGTTCCTCGAGCTTGCACTGTGGCTCATTGGAACAGCGTAGGAAACCGTGGATGGAGAGGTCAGAGTGCGAGTGGGAGGGAGAGTTGAAATGGCAAGAAACCGGAAGTTCGGCGTTGTGCTTGCGGACAGAACGGAGGTGTTCAGCAAAATTGGTCACCTGATCTGCATTTTGTCTCCCCAGTGTAGAGGAGATCACATTGTGGAGTCCTGTAGCTCAGTGGTTAGAGCACTCGCTTTGCAAGCGAGAGACCTGAGTTCATTTCCAGGCAGGTCAGGGCGAAACCTTGGGCAAGTTTCCTTACTCCACACGCCTAATAATAATCCCTCCAAAAACAAAACAATAATAAATTGGTCATTTTTAATCTACGACTGTTTGTGGGACATTGCTGTGCGCAATTGGCTGCCGCGTTCGCCCACAAATATACAGTCAATTCACTTTACAGTGTGTTCTGTGAAGCGCTTTCGGACGTCCTTCCGACATGAAAAGCGCTATATCAAATGCAAGGATTATTATTATTATTAACCTCCCCCTCCATATACACTCTGCCACCCACATTCATGACCACCCACTCCACCTGGTGATTACCCGGGGCCTCAGTGTCGCAGACCTCACAATCACCGATAAAGCTATCTCAGATCACCATTTCATCTGCCTTAACTCCTCAATCCATCTCCAATCTCGCTTTCCTTTCCAAGGTCCTTGAAAGAGTTGTTGCTTCCCAGCTTCATTCCTTTCACTCCTGTCACTCCCTTTACAACCCCTTCCAATCGGGTTTCGGTGCTGCCCACAGTATGGAAACAGCCCCAGTCAAGGTAACAAATGACATTCTGTCCATCTGTGACCAGGGCTCCCTCTGTCTCCTTGTCCCCCTCAACCTCTCTGCTGCTTTTGACACTGGATCACTCTATCCTCCACCGCTTCTCTCACCTCAACCTTCAAGGTTCTGACCTTGAACGGTTCATATCCTATATCTTACATCGTCTCCACTTTGTCTCCACAAGTGGCTTCTCCTCCAGGCCGCGCACCATCTTGTGCTGTGTTCCTCAGGGCTCTGTCCTCGGTCCTCTCCTTTTCGACCTGTACGTGCTCCCTCTTGGTGCCATCATCTGCAGACATGGGGTCAACTTCCACATGTACGCGGATGAAACCCAACTCTATCTCTCTGCCTCCATATTTAACTCCTGACAGAATATCTGTCAGACATCAAGTCCTGGATGAGAGCCAATGTTCTACAGTTGAACGTCAGCAAGATCGAGGCTCTCCTGATTGGCTCTCCAGCGCCTCTGCACCTCAGGCAGTGGCAGGCTCCAAGGATGCACGCTCCAGCTTGCCAAGCCAGTCAGGAACGTGGGTGTCTTCTTCAACCCTCAAATGTCCTTTCTCCCCCATATCCGTGCCACGACCCGCTCTGCCTTCCCCTACCTTTGCAACATTGCCCGACTTCGCCACTGCCTTACCCCTCAGGGCACCGAAACCCTCATACATGCCTTCATTACAACCAGGCTATGCCAGGCAGGGCGACACCTTGGGAAAGTTTCCTTACTCCACACGATTAATATTAATCCCTCCAAAACAAAACAATAATAAATTGGTCATTTTCAATCCACGACTGTTTGTTGGACATTGCTGTGCGCAATTGGCTGCCGCGATTCGCCCACAAATATACGGTCAATTCACTTTACAGTCTATTCTGTGAAGCATTTTGAGACGTCAAGAAGACGTGAAAAGAGCTATATCAAATGCAAGGATTATTATTATTATAACTTCATCCCCAATATACAAGTGATTTACTATCTTAACAAAATGATAACAAAATCCTGTTGTGTTTGGGATAGATGATGTGCTATGAAAAGATTGAAATAAACAAAGGGAATATATGGTAGGAACAGAATATGTAAAGGAAGAATCCAAAAGGTTGTAAGAAATATCGAGAATGCAAAAAGAAAAAATAAACCAATGAAGCTAAATAATCTTGACCATATTGTTCCACCGCAAGTAACAAAATTGCAAATTGAAGTGCGACTTGTTAACTGAATTTAATGGTGATTACATTTCCTACTTTATAGGCTGAATAATAATAATCAGTGCATTTGATATAGCGCCTTTTCGAGTCCTTGAAACATCTCAAAGCGCTTCACAGAATATACTGTAAAGTGAATTGACTGTATATTTTGTGGGCGAAATGCGGAAATCAATTGCTCACAGCAGTGTCCCACAAACAATCGTAGATTGAATAATAACAACCCTTGCATTTGATATAGCGCCTTATCATGTCATTGATGTTTCAAAGCACTTTGCAGAATATACTGTAAAGTGAATTGACTGCACATTTTGTGGGCGAAACACAGCAGCCAATTGCACGCCGCAGTATCCCAAAACAGTGGATTGAATGACCAAAACTATTTATTTATTTTAAGGGCTTATTACCCCAGAAAGCGATCCACCAATCGACTAACAACTGGGTTCCTACTTACTGCTAGGTGAACAGAGGCGTGTGGAGTAAGGAAACTTTCCAAAGGTTTCGCCCTGCCTGGGAATCAAACCCAGGTG